AACTGTCAACGAGGACTAATTAGAATGTCAGGCCAGGACCTTGGTCAAGCTGGCAGGCCGGGCAACCCACACAACCGCAACCGAGCAGCAAACAAAAAGCGATTGGTATACCCCTTATACCACACAATCGTGTGGCACAAACTGGCACTCACAATTCCCTGACGGATTGATCCGTGTGATTAATGATTAATGATGTTGCCAGTGTTGCAATATCGCAGCGTGGCAATGTGGCAGCGTGTCAGTGTGGCCTTGCGGCGTGTTTCGTGACAAGTTTGTTAGTAAATTGATGCGGTTGCTTGTACCTTTTGCAGCTTGCAACTCTCTGCTGTGCCGCTGACACTCGTTGTCCTGTCAGTCCTTGCATCATTAATCTATCTCTGGAGGAAAACTGTACCACTAAAATATGTCCTTTCAGCAGCGAAATTTCAGCAAATCTCAATCAAATTTCCCACGACGATCGCCACGATCTTAAATCGTTTTTAATGAACTCATCATAATGTTGCTGGCAAACGGCCAAGAACTGTCATAAGCCGTGATGGGATGGGGATTCAAATTCGAAATCAGCGGTGCGTGAATTTCTCCGCCAAAACTGACCACAAGAACAAACAGATTTTAATGGAAAAACACACACAGACACACAAGGATATGGGGTAACTAAAGGAAATTTATTAGATGCAGATCACCGCGCATTGTTCCTGGACTTTAACGACCCTCGCGTTTGCATATCCCGGAATATCCTTGTATCTCAACCCCTGATACTATTTTTTTTTTTTGGGAAAAATACCTTAAAGATTAATGAGATTTCTTAAGCCAATTTCTTATGGGTGATTTTTTCATTTATTTTTTTTTGCTTTACATTTCTCTTTTTTCTCATTTTTTTGTTGGGTCGATTTTTTATGGGTCGTTTAGAGATCGGCAAACAGGGCGCTTGTCTCGTAATTTACATGAAATTACTTCATTTGCTGGGGCAGCCAATGTCCTTTGTCCCTTGCGGTCCTCGTGTCATGTCAGTCAAACAAGGCCTCCAAGAATCGTGAGAAATCGAAATGCAAATCACTCCGGACACCGATCGATTGAATGTCTTCGATCAAAGTCACGACCGACTGATTGGTTTTTAGGGAAACTGGACCGATTCCGTGTGGTCTTCAAGGATCTTTCTCTTTCGTCGGAGCAGCTGCTGACCAAAGGACACGCTTGCAATTAGCCATGAAATTTTTCCATCTTGCCAGGACCAGCGGCAACGGCTCTTTGTCCTTTGGCGCTGGACAGTGAAAAATCAGTTTTGGCAAAAAAAAATAGAAGGAGAAATTATGAAACATTCATTGAATTTTTCATAATCAGGATATGAGTTATGAGACAGAGACAGTTGGCAAATGGATATTAGGCAAGGATAATTGCAGCTGACTAAAGGTAGTTTCTGTCCTTGGTTTCTGTTTGAAATTCATTATAAAATCCTGACAAAGTCCCAAGGCATTTGATGCTCTACAAAATCCTTTAAAAAATCTCTAAAAAAGAAAAGCAGACTGCATTCGATGGAATGGAATATCTTCGCCTTGGGCCTCGTAAATCAGGCTGCCAAATGTCATTCGCTCTCCTGACATGCTGCATAACAAGTTTCTGGTTTTTGGCTAAAGGAGCTGCATTATTTCGAATCTCCTCGTTTTTTTTTCGGAGAGGCTCCTTTTTTTTCTTTTTTTAGCCTGTCAAATTATCTTGAGGGCGCCGCCATGTCTATGAGAATTGTTTGTGGGCATGGAAGCGAAAAAGGACACGAGAGTGCAACTGCAGACACACAAGACGAGCCACGAGCAGGATCCTTGCAATGCAGACAACTCTTTCTTCCCCGTTTTTTTTTTTATTTCTCCTAAGAGCTATCCTTTTTTTTTTGGGTGGATAAACCTTTTTTTTTTTTCATTCGCCTTATTTTGTGTGAGAAATGCAAATTTGGTAAAAAATATAAAAAAAAAGTAAAATTTGTTAAAGGCAACCGGACGAAAAAAAACGCGCGCTGCACTAATTTGATTTTTTGTTTTTTTTTAGGAACAACTGCAGTTATCCTTGGCTCCTGGCAACAGCAGGACCTCTGCCATTTTTTGGTCATTTATCAAATTTCAAGCAAAAGCAGATCAGTCTTTCAGTCTCTCAGTTTTGTGACTGCAGGACTCTCGGTATGTGTGTGTGAGTGTGTGTGTCTGTGTGAAGTGAATATCAAAACAAAACAAGGACATCGGTGTCCTTTTTCGGGGCGCGCCTTGTCGGCTGTCAATCAAAAGTCGTCTTCGATTTTGTTTTTTTTTTATTTTTATTTTTTTTTCCCAAGTCCCAAGTCCCAAGTCCATGTCATATTTCTCCTCTCGCTCGTACTGAGGAGATATCCTTTTCGGGACTTTCCCACATTTGCATTTTAATAATCTGAAGGCAGAGGCATGCAAATTTTGCAAGCAAATCCTTTAAATCCGCAATATTTATCGCTTACATGCCCGAAAATCAAGTTTCGCACAAATTAGGCAAATTTACTGTACGGGCCACCCAGATATGTCAAGGGGTTAGGGGCAAAAGGTTAGGGCCCTAATGCATTCGCAATTAGTTAGCTAACCCCTTGAAAAGTCGGTTGAGGATTCGGGATTCAAATTGAATTTATAATCGATTTAGATCATTTTTTTTTTTTTTTTGCAAAAGCAAATCCGCCAAACACACAAAGTGGCCTGGCAATGGAATGGAAAATCAAAAAATCACCAATATAGAAAATCCACCCCGATATTCAGAGGAGGTCCTGCCGGAAAATAACCCTTTCCGCGGCCGTTGTTGTTGCTAATTTTGATTCTAATGAAGCGCGAATTACGAAAACATGGAAATCGTATCAATTACCAGAGACAACGATCGCACAGCCTTTCCATCTCAGGCGGCCGGGCAGTGAAAAGCGCAAATATCAATGGATGAGGGTTAAGTGCCAGGATCTTGCTAAAAAAAAAAAATCTAAACGGGTTGATCTAAATCAAATAAAGGTGGTCTCTTTGGTTCAAAATACACTCCAGTTTTGTTTGTAAAGCGATCTTTTAAAAGAGTTTTTTTGTTGTAGGATTTAGTTTAGAGTTTGGGGATTAGAACTGGACTTAGAGCTTCCTCTTTCATGCTCCATCAACTATGTAGATCCTTTGAAAACTTCTTCAGAAGTCAAGAACTTCTCCATCAATAACATTCTAACCATAATCTGAAGAACTGTCGATACAATGACATAACATAACCAGGATATGCAAGCCGGGCCAGCTGTCCTTTGACTTTCTGGAGTGACTAAAGGTGTCAAGATGTCAAGAGGACTCTGGGGAAGAGTCGCAGCGGGTAGGGCGGCAACTGTATTCTAACAATTCTCAAGTATCTAACTTTTTTTCCACGAACCCCCGAGGACTCCCCCACATATCCAGTATCCTTGAGGAATACGCAATGAGAATTGCATTGCCATTATTATTATTGAATTGCCATTGGATGGGTATGAAAGTTGGGCAGCGAGAGCTCGTAAAATCCGTAGATCGACAGCACCCGTCACATAAACATCTCCCAGTCAAAGGACTCAAAGGACTATCGGAGACAACCTGGGCCAACCGGCTGCTAATATAGGGCACGAGTCCAGATATTGAGTCCTGTGTTCCCGGCATCTGGACAAATATTTACCAAGGACTACGAGGACGAGGATGAGTCCGAAGGAAGCTTCAGCTCGTAAATTGCCGCCTACACACAAAGGACGATTACAGGATACCCGGGGCCAAGTACAAATCAAAGTGAAAGTAATGACCAATCGAGAGAGATGGACGATTAAAGAGAGAGGGATATAGGATATGTCCTGGGACAGAGACATTAGGCTACTGTTTTTGTAGTTCGGCTTCTGCAGTTTCCCCGCCAGGACAATGGTTTTCTTGGACAACACACGAGACAAATCTGGGCCAGGACACCTTGCGAAGTCGTGTGGGTTTCTGGGTCTCTGGATTTCCTTTCTTTTTACACTTTTCTTTTTTCTTGTCTCTTTCTGCTTTTCCTTCTTTATTATTATTTTCTTTTTTAGACTTTACAGTTTACAGTTCCTGGCCAGCTGTCCTGGCAGCCAAGGATCATTGTTGTTTGATCGCTGATGGCTCAGCGGAGATTCTCTGGCCAGGACAATGGACGGGATTTACCTGCTTAGCCACGTTTCCTTCGTCCTTTCACCGGAAGAAAGAGAGCGGGAGAGTGAGCGGTAGTGAGAAAGAGATTGGGAGAGAAAGGTGTTCAACAGGAGGTTTACTGGCCGACAAGGCTCGGAAGAGAAATGCTCTTTACCTTTTATGATAGAGCGCCCCTAGCGGACGGTGGCCGAAGTTGGCAGTAACTGAGATTTTTGTGAGAGGAGTTTCTTGAGGTTTTTAGCAGATTTTAGTTAGAAACTAAAGAAAAAAACTATTTAAAAAGGATAATTTAGATAAAAGATTATTTATTTCTTATTTTAAATTAAATTTTAAGGAGAAAACCTAAAGGAATATTTATAAAATGATATTTTAAAGCTCTTAAAAGCATGTCTTTCAAGGGAATTCATTTTCCACACTGAGAAAACCCAATCAAAAGAAGGTTTCCTGTTAATAAATTAATACTTTAAGGTCTAGAGGTTCTGTAAAAATGATTTATTGAACTCTAGTCTAGGAAACTATATTTATAAAATAATTTAAAGAAACTAAAATCAAGGTAAAAGGTTCAAAAATTTATTATTTAGTATATAAAATCTTATAAATTATTTCTTTAAATGTAAAAAGACATCAAAGATCTATCTAACTCTCTACTGTCTTCCTTCCAGTCTTCTGGGCCATCCTATCTCTTTGTAACTTTCTCTTTCTCGATCATCACCAGAGGGTGGTTCCTCAGACTTCGTACAACTTCGTGAGGTCTTCGGCTAGCCTCGTGCCTGGGTGGCTTCGAGCCGAGCCTTTGCCGAAGGCTGCGCCGGCGCACAACCTCATTTCCGTTTCTGGCCTCGTGCAGAGCTGACACACGAAGAACTAGACCATTAAATAATATATCTTTAACTTTCGAAGCTTATTTGGCAATTTATTTTTTTTTTTTGTGCAAAATTCAAGAAGAAAATTGTGTCAACCAAAACCCAAGACTCTTAAGTTCTAAATTTTAGAAATCAAAATTAAATAAAAGTGTTTAAAATATAGAAGAAAGTGAAGCCATTGAGGCGACCTAGTCGCAAGCAGATCAAGTTTCTAGGTAAGTCCCCTGACACACTGACCCCTTTGAGGGAATGATTGATCCGTTTGTTGGAAGAGATCGATAAGCTCCATCCAGGAAGGAACCACACCTGGCAATATTGATTATTCTCATACACAATTACGATCGCACCCATGTGACGCGGTTGTTTGTCTTTTGCTCTAGCTCTAATTTTAATTCCCGGCCAGGGGTTAGAGGACGAAGTAGAAGGGAGGGAAACCCAAAAAAAGAAAACCCTAAGACACATACACATACGTATGTAGACCCCTAAACCCCGTAACCCCTAAGATCCAGATCACGGTGTGACCCACAAGTAAAAAAAGTATTCAGGAAAAAAAAAAACATTGAAAAGGGGTGGTGCGTCTTCTAATACATTTAATTTGTTGCTCTACCTTAAATTTTTTACCTTTTCCTTCCCCTCACCCCAACGATAATCCTCCAGGCACAAGTCACACACACACACACACACTGGCATAGTTAGGATCCTGGGCTGGAAAAGAAAATATTTTTTTTGCTCGCCTTTAACAAATGCCTTTCTCGTGCAATTTCGCTCGGCTTTTCATCTTTCATTTCTGGGGCTGGGATGACGTTTATGGATTACACGAAAACCCATTTTCAAACTCACTTTCCAATGAGTGTGTGTGTGTGTGAGAGTGCGTGTGTGTGTCTTAGAGAATCCTGAAGACAAAGACCTGGGATCTGGAATCTGGAATCTGGGATGAACCTTTTGTGGCCCCTTTTGGCTTTGCCGTTTGCCGCATTTTTGCAAAAATGCCATCATTATGCTGGGGCGTAATTGTTCCACACACACACACACACATACACAGAGACATTAGAGAGATATGAAGGACCTTCGATCCTTAGATACAACAGGATCCTGAAGATCTTCAGGCTTGGCAATTTTATGCTTGGCAACCGCAGCCCAGAAATCACTTTGAAAATTAGCATAAGCTTAATTTCAATTTAAATGCAAACCTGAAATTTGCTCAAGCAGAATTACAGGATCGCAAGGACGAAACTCGTTTTCTGCCGCAACAAAAAACAATTTGCAAATTTCCTCCATTATCCTTGCACTTTGTTTGCCGCTTGCTGCCTCCTTCATTTGTTTTTTTGTTTTTGTTTTTTTGCCACGAAATTGTCTGGAAGTTTCCGAAAAAAATCCTTCCGAACAAGGACGAGAAGAATGGGCAATGGGAAACAAGAAGCGTACGAAACCAGTAAACCAGACCAGTCGTTGTTCTGATCCTCTTGTTTGGCAGCCAGCTGCCCAAAGAACCAAAAGGACTCGATTTTGCCAACAATATCTACATATATGAAGGAGGGAATCCTTGAAAGACTTGGTCTTCAAGCATTTTTAGCATTGAGGTCTTCGAGGAAGGTGATTAGTCTTTTTCTGAAGAGTAGCGGAGAGTCTACAATCCTTGTTTAAATCTTGACCTTGATCCTTATTCCAGGGACATGCCAACCATGACGAGAATGCATCGCCACTCCAGCTCCAGTGCCGTGGTGGAGGAGAATCGCGGCCGGAGACGCGGCCCTGGCGCGGGTGATGCCAACAAGGAGAACTTCGGGGTGCACTTTATGAGCAGTCCGTTTGGCAATGCCAGCCTGATTGCCCTCCAGGACCTGAGCAATGTCCATGGCAAGAGCCCGCAACGCAGGAGCTTCAGCGAAGGCAGTGGTCCCCGCCAGGCCACGCCCCAACTGGCGGCACTGAGGAGCTGCCTGCCACGCGGTGGAGTCGGTGTAGGTGGCGGTGCCGCCGCTCTAGAGGACTCGCAGCTCTCGTCCTCTCGAATGGGTGACACCACGCTAGATCGTATGCTAGATGCCATTATTGAATCCGCACGGAAGGAGGTGCGCTACAAGCCGAATGTGGTGGCCACTGCCACAACCACAGCAGCCCCCACCACCACTGTCCTACCCGAGAACGCCGAGTGGAGTGAGACCAGTGTCCACGAAATGGAGGTACGCACTCCCACCCACTTGAAGCGCCAGCGGGTGGTGCGCCGCAAGAATCCCCACAAAACCACCGGTCCCACCACTGGGGGCCAACGTCCCACCAGCACCACCACCACCGCCCAGCAACTGGAGCACATTCCCAGCACGAAGCGGTGCCTGAGCTTCTCCTCCAGCTCCAACTCCAGCGACCTGGAAGTCGAGGAGGATGACGAGGAGAACCAGCAGGTGGCCAAGAGGGGATCCCTGGCCACACCGCCCTCCCACTGCACCACCACGAGCAGCACTAGCAGCGGCAGCAGTGGCAGCAGCAGCGGGGCAACTGACTTTGGAGAAGCCTCGCCAAGGGGCAGCATCGATCTGAGCATTTCTTACGACGCCAAGGAGCAGAAACTGAATGTACATGGTGAGTTCCAAACTAGCTTAGTTTCTGCTTAGTTTTTAATCTTAAATTTTAAATAGAATAAAGAATTAAAGTGTCCTTAGAGAGCCGCAACAAATTAGATTTATTTTGTGCAACAGAAACAGAATCAGTTGCCAAAGACTAGCCGCAATTCAATTTTATGAAAGCGATTACCAGGGGAGATGTCTCTGCCCAGTCGGGGGTATTATGTCCTGCCTCCCAAAAGGATTAAGCCCGCAAACCCTCAACCCATTCTCACCTTTCCACCTTTTTCCATTTTTTTCTATTTCTAGTGATTCGCTGTCGGGACTTGCAACGTTCCCATGGCGGCAACGGTGGCAGCATCAATGCCTACGTTAAGGTGGCTCTGTCCGGTACAGGATCCGGCTATGGATCCGGTTCGGGTTCGGGATCGAGTGGCCAGCGCGACCAGCGCACCGCTGTTCATCGGCACTCGAGTCGTCCCTATTTTGACCAGCGCTTCAGCTTCCCGATTTGCGGTGGCGATTTCAAGGATAACGACGATTTCAAGGAGCAGAGCCTTCAGCTGGCAGTGTGGCACCGAGATCGCCATTTAAAGTGAGTACGAGTACGGTCGACAGCCAAACACTAAAAGGTTTTAGTTCTAATTAGCTTCTAAGAATGAATATACGTATATATCCTTGTGGCAAGTATCCTTAAGCCTTTAAAGCCTTATATCCTGATTGCAAAATGTTTCAATTAACAATTCCATCGAATAGCCCAATTGATATTTTATTAATACACCCCTTTGGCGTATTTATGTCCTCGTCCCACAACATCATTGCCTTGTTGAGCCTGTTCCGTGTCCTGTGGCCCAAGTCATTCACCCCGAAACGTTTATCCAGCAAGGACGAGGTGAGGATGAGGATGAGGCGGTAAGGGTGAGGGCGCCAAAGTGGAAAAGCAAGCCTTCCATGGACAGACAGGCAAAAGACCAAGACTCCTTCGAGCCTCGTCTGGTTAATTGCGGCGCCCCCGTCGTCTTTCTTTTGGGGCTCCTCCTTACCGCGTGGCAACTTCGACTCAGATTCCGATTCCAAAACCCTGAATCCTTGTGCATTTCCTGCACATAAACAAGCCCTCACCACCCACCCGTCCCGTCCACCCCCTCGTATGGGAAGTGGAATATTTCCAGCGCCTGCGCCATCGAGACAGACGCTTTTCCAGACCACTTTCCCGGGCCTGAACCGAACGTCTGTCAGGCTACAAGGGCCTGACCTGAGCTTCCGTTCCCAGTTTTCCCAGTTCTCAGTTTCTCGGTTTTCCCAGCTCGGTCGAGAGCTCAGTTCCCGTTACTCGGTCCGAGTGGCAAGCTCGCGTGAAAAGCGTGAAAAGCGAACGGCGACGGCGACGGCAACTGCGACTGCGACGAGCGGAAAACGGCTGGCAACGCTCGAAAACGAAACATCAAAAAAAAAAAAACACGCAGGATATCGCAGGTCCTTTTCCTTACAAAAATATTCCAAAACTCTTCCTATTTTTTTGTCGAATTTTTTTTACAAAGTGTCCAAATTAAAAGTTAAAAATATCCTTTTGAAAAAACCCAGGTGTGAGAAAAATCCAAAACACACAAAAGTATGCAACGAAAACTTATGTAACTGTGTGTGTGTGCGAGAGGATATCCAGGACGGCGTATATGTGTCTGTGTGTAGCATAATTTCGAGCTAAACAAATGCGAACAGGAAGTGGAAGTGCGAGAGTGTCTGTACGAGTGTGTGTGTGTTTGTGAGGCTTTTCGCAGCACGCTTGAAAGTTAATTAAGATTCAAGGACACGCAGCAGGCATTTAAGTGGAGTACTTGAGCCAACACACCCACCTACAGTCTCTCGCCCCAAAAAAAAAAAAGGCAAAAACTAAAAAACGTGATGAGACCTCCAGTTTTAATGCCAAATCGATGGGGAGGGGGGGAGGTCCTTTTTAAGCGATTATGCAATGCCCACACGCACACACCCCCAAGCAGCCCAAAACACCCATTGAAATCCTTTGGCTGTCAGCAGCTAATTGAAGTGGCTAACTAACTAAATGTACACCCGGGAACGCCATAAACTCTTCAGGCTATAACATACCATACACTACAAAAAATGACCCAGTCAAAAGTCAAAAACAAGACCTATGATATCCTTAAGATTCTACAGGAAATGCTATAGCTTTTAGTTCTTTCTATTTCCACACTTTAGTCCTTTATAAAAATTCAATTTATTTTTAGTAAAAATCCTTTTTTTGTACGGTGTACTCTATACGCACCTGCTTGTATTTTGTTGGGCATGCATAATATATTCCATTTATTGTGAAAATAGTTATGCCTCCCCCCGAAGGACTATCCGAAACTACCAAAAAGGACCTCGTTGTGAGCATTTTAAGTCAATTTACAAAACGACTGGCAGCTGAATAATGTATTGCCTACTTTTCGGCGCTGCCTGAAGGATTTCTGCCCTCTAGCCACCCCTCCATCATCCTATTTAATGCCTCCGTCTTGGACTGACTGACAGCTGCGATTGCAATCGCCCTAAAATCGCCCAAAAAAAATAAAAGAAAATCCAACTTCCTGCAATGCTACCGAATAAAAAATCAATAAAAGTGACCCAAATACGCGCGCCAACTTCAGGCCAAAGTGGCCAGTGGAAGAAGCAGTAGATAAAGCCTCAAGCCACTGTCATACCCACTCTCACACCCACCCACTCTCGTCCCAAAAACCAACCAACCCTACCCACCCCCCAGCCACCCTACAAATTGGCCAGGCAAAGCGCATTTCCGGGCCAACAGTACGTATGTGGAATGTGGCGGCAGCTTAGGGCCGCTAATTGATTTATGTCACGTACCACGATATACGACGTCCACTATCCGCACTATCCATGCTATATATACCAGCTACCAGCTAGTATAGGTGGCGCCACCACCTACCTTGGGTTGTGTGGGGAATGGGCGAAGGGAGGGGCGGATCAGCAGCTGCCCTCGGTGGTAGTCTGTCCACCTTCGATGGCTTATAAATAGACAATGTCCGGCCAATGCCAGTGCAACGTGACGCAAACCAACAAAATTGGTATAACCTCCCAAAAAAAAATAATCAAAGCTATTGGAAGATATATTGTATGATACAACTCAATTAATAAATATCGTGTTTCATTATCAACATAATAATCTCAATCTCCGGACATGTTCTCCAGGCAGACATACATAAATAATTAAAAAGGCCTGGGTCATGATAAGGTGACGTAAAGAGAGTCAATTAAAATGGTTAAACAAGAAATAGATTAAAGATATGTTTCAGGAAAGTATCTAGATGGTTTATTATAGGAGTTAGGAGCTAGAAGTGTTAGGAAAAGGATCTATTCTCTACATTATAATAAAACTCTCAGTTTATAACCCTTATCTAACCTCATCTCTTGTTCCTTCTTATAGACGCAGCGAATTTTTGGGCTGCAGCACTTTCCCATTGAGCGAACTACTGCAGCCGCACGCCGGCACCACGGCCGGATCCTACAAGCTGCAGGCGCAGGGATGTCCACCGCCTAGCCACCGCCAGAGTCGCGAGAACCAGCACCACAATCACCAGAGTCACGCATCCGTATCCGCGGCGAGCACTAATCCCGGAGAGAATCCGGAGAAGGCAGCAGCAGCAGGAGGAGGAGGAGGAGAACGCGAGGGTGAGGAGCAAGAGAATAGCACGGAAATGGCTGCCATTACAGCAACGCCACAAAAGGCAGCGGCCACCACCGGAACTGGCACTGGATCTGTATCCGTTTCCGGATCCACAGCCGCCGCCCTGACCCTCAACGATGAGGTGATCAGCATTAGCATCGATGGAGATCCCAGCCAGCAGGCCGGCCAGCAACCGATGCGACTCAGCAAGAAGGCCCTCCACCAGCGCGACGCCGACGAGAATCTCTTCCTGAGATTCCTGGAACTCGATCCGCCGGCGGACGGGAATGCCAACAGTACGACTGTGGGCGCCACCGGCGACAAGACGGCCAACTCGTCCTCGAACGCCAAGGCCAACGAGAGCAATGCCAACCACTTGAACGGCTCCGCCAGTCGACGACACTCCACCATGCCGAACAGTGCTGGTGGCGGCGGAGGAGGAGCAGGAGTGGGAGGAGGCAGTGGCTCCGGAAGGCAAACCGGAAGGACACCCTTCACGATGACCAAACGACTGACCAGAACCGAGGAGCGGGGCTTCGGGTTCTCGATCGTTTGGACCCATCCGCCCCGGGTGGAGAAGGTGGAGGCAGGCCTCTCGGCGGACCGGTGCGGCATCCTGCCCGGCGACTATGTGATCTTTGTGGACATGCACAATGTGGTCACGATGCCCGAGGCTGATGTTCTGAACTTGATACGATCGCAGGGCTCGGCCTTGACGTTGGAGATTTTCAGAAGGTCAGGCGCGGGCGCCACCACAATCTCGACGGCCACCACCGCCACCGCCACAGCCATCGCTGCTGCTCCCCCCAAGAAGATCTACGGCCTGGATGCCGGCATAGGCATTGGCATCGGTGTGGAGGAGCCACTGTTGCCCACCAGCTTGAGCACCACCAGCACCCACGCCCAACCCCAGGGCGTTGTCTCCAGTCTGCAGAGGAGTGCCAGTTCCCGCGTCCAGACGGCCATCAGTCGTCCGGCCACCGCCTGCTCGGGCACCACGTCCTCCATCGAGGCCGCCAAGCGGCGGCTGCACCTGCCCCAGGTCACCTTCAGCAAGGAGGTAGGCAAGGGTGTCTTCGTCTAGGACGTCCCTCGAGTCCTGGCTCTTCATTTTGTATCGATTACCGATTTTTTTTTTTTTTGCCTGGTTTATCCTTTATTTGAGTGCCTCTGTAAATAATCGACTGGCCCCTCGCTATTTGTTAAGTTTTTAAAATTTAAGCAACCTGCTGGTTATCCTTTGATCCTTTTTTTTTGTGCTGAATCCCCCTTCCCCAACCTATGCTTGACAATAAACATTTTTTTTCAACATTACTTGCTTGGTTTTTCATTTTTTGAGTTGATCACCCACTGCACACCCATATCCTTTAAATAAAATATATCCTGACTGATTGCTGATCCTTGTCTAGTCCATTGTGCCCATCACGGACAATCGGAGGCGTTTCCTGCTCCAGCTGATCAGCCGGGAGCAGAACTTCACGGCCGCCCTGCACTTTGGCGTCCAGCGCTTCGTCCAGCCCTTGGTGGAGCGCAAGGACCTCATCTCGCCGAACGACCATCGCACCCTGTTCCAGAACATTGACGAGCTGCTGCGCATCGCCGAGGACATCCTGGAGCAACTGTGCAGCAGCGAGCAACAGGACCAGGACCAGCCCCAGATGAACTTCGCCTCGCGGGTCTATCTCTCGAAGACCACGGCGATCTGTGCCGCCTACAAGAAGTACTGCAACGGCATCAAGCGGGCGGACTGTGTCCTGGTGAACAAGTCCCGGCAGACGGGCTCCGAGTTCATTGCCTTCATCACGGAGCCGGCGGTGCCAAGGAAGAGGCCCGATCTCACCATGTTCATCCACCGGCCGCTGCAGCACTTCCGGGAGATCCTCAAGCTGATGCAGCTCCTGGCCGGCAACTGTCACGTTGACACCGAGGAGCACAAGAACTTCAGCACGGTGATTGCCGAGCTCCAAGCCGCCTACAGAGAGATCACCGTGAGCAGTGGGCTGATGGAGCCCCTGGGCGAGGGCCGGCCGCTCCTAACGCTGCAGGACCTGGAGTCGCGAATGGTCTTCACCAAGTGCAAGCCCTTCACGCTGGCCGTGCAGGGCCGCCAGTGGATCTTCGGCGGGGACTTGTCCCGCGTCGAGGGTCGCTCGGTGAAGCCCTACTGGACGCTGCTCTTCAGCGACATCATTGTCTTTGCGAAGGTCAGTCGGGATCGGGTGCTCTTCATCACCGAGGAGCCCATACCCATTGCCAATGTGGTGGACTCCTGCTTCCACATGCGCAAGAAGAGTGAGTAGTACACCTTTTCTTCAGTGGACACCTCTTACCTCCATTTTCTTGAAACCCCTTCCAGCCACCGAGTTCCGTCTGACGGTGGATCCCAATGGCCGTCTGGCCGAGAGCCCCACGGGCTACTGTGCCCCGGATCTCACCCGCACCCCCAAGAGAGGAGCCCGCCGGAAGAGCCTCATCCTGAGAGCTCCCTCCCTGGAGCTAAAGGCTGTTTGGCAGAACCTGCTGCAGCGTCAAATGTAGGTCATAGCCATTCCAAAGTATGAAACCCAACTAACCAAAGCACTGTCTCAGATTTCTTGTGAATGCCGCCCTGGGATCGACACCTCTATCCAGTCCGCTGGACTCACCAGACGTCCTGAACACCCTCGTGCCCCTGAGCGACATCGGCCTGACCTCCGCCTCGATGGGATCGATGAAGCTGCCGTCGCTGGACAGCATCCACCTGAAGCAGCAGCAGAAACAGCAGGTGCGTCTCTTTCGCAGCAAGCGGCTGGACAGTGCCGATTCCTACGAGAATCTCCAGAGGCTGGCCAGTGCGGTGAGACACCATTGTGCGGCCAGTGGCGCCAGCACAACAGCCAGTAGTGCCACCCAGACCCAGTCCCAGACCCATCCGACCCTGAATACCAGCTCGCCGGCCAGGAACGGCGGCGGTTCGGTGGTGAACGGAGTGACTGGGGAGCTCAGCTGCCTCAGACGCTTCAACACCAACAGCTCCTGCCTCAGCAGCAGTGTCAGCTTGGTCCAGACCCAAGCTCAGACCCAGACCCAAACCCAGACCCTGACCCAAGTCCAGACCCAGACACAGATCCACACCCAGAGCTCCAACCACTCACAGACCCAGACCTCGACCCTGTCGAGTTGCAAATGCCTGACGGCCATTCCGGAGGCTTCCAGTGAGCCACCATTGCCATCAAATCCTCACCCGCATCCGCATCCGTCCCAGAAGCTGCTGGAGTTCAGTCTCAGCTCGGTGGGTCGTTCGTTTATCGACGAATCGGCGGGCGTAGTGGAAAGGGGCAGCGGTGGAGTCGGTGGTGTCGGCCAGATATCCCTCACCACGCCGGAAACACCCACCCCGAACATCTCCCCCAGCTCCCAGCCCTGCAACTCGGACGCCTTCTCCAATGACTTTGTGCCGCCCAACTCCAGTCAGGCCCCAAACATCCCTTTGGCGGAGTTTGGAGGCTCCTGGGATCTCCTCGAACTCGATCTCCAGCTGCACGAGGTCAACCTGGATCCGTGCTACGACACGGATGTGGAGGAGTGCATCTTTCTGGGGGACAGAGGGGATCGAGAGGGCGGCGAGGGTGGTGGCGGCGACGGGGGTGACGATGACAGCGACGATGATAGTGTCGTGGTAGACGATCCCTTCGGCATGCTGCCCACCAAACCGACTCCGCCGGACTCCCTGGACCTGTGATTTGACTTCTGGCTACAGTCAGAGCCCGATCCCAGCCTCTTGCCGCACAATCTTTGAATCGACTTATCGAGCTTACCTAAACCACGTATTACCACTGATCTACTACTCTAGCCCTAGCCCTCACTCTTGCTCAAAATTTTAACTCAAATCAAAATCCATCGCTCTGCTTTTGCCTCAGCTCTTGGCCAAGTTTCTAGGCTCTTTCAGTATTTATGAAAATAGTGGGCAGCCTCTTGTCTAGATTGGGGACTGACTTTGCCAGGATATATAGGATATAGCTCTACAAAGAGTTTCAAGCTCGATAGAGGAAGGCAGCTAGTAGGGAAGTAACGAGTAAGAAAAGCTATTAGGCAAGTAACGAACGCAAGGCAGCTAGTAGCAAAGTAACGAGTAGAAAGTAACGAAAACCAGAATATATTGACAGGATTTTTGAGAAAATAGAAGCCAGAGCCAGAAAATCTTAGGCTTCGAAAACAAAAAAACGCAAAAGTTAACAATTATAAATGTTCTATATAATTAAAAAAAAAATTAAAAACATCAACATAACGAGTGAGAAGTGACAATTATCCCTGGAGAATTGTACATAGAAACCCCCGATATCCCTCTCGCTCGAGCTCTCCATTAATGTGTATGTGTATCTGTTGTGTATTGTACATACCATATATATATATATATATATATAACCATCATATACCATATATATGTCCTTCCCCGTAATGGTGTTTGTTCCATCCAAGTCGATTCTGAATCGAGTGTATATAGAAAGGGTAATGGACATTTTTGGAAGAGAGCAGAGTTGGCTTCGATGAGGATTCGGTGGCGATGATGATATGATTGTATGTGTGTACCGATAGTATATAGCTCTTTATAGTATACCCAGTATACACGTCTTATTAGCTAGTCAAATATACACGACACAGAGATGCGAAGTCCTTGGGGACTCTCCATGTTTTAAACGAGTTTTTAGCTTATAGACATACAAGTAAGAGTATATATAATGTATTTATATATATGCGCAATACCTAATCACTCTATTCGTATTAACCATTCAATTGAAACTATTTTGCCAATCCAACAAAAAAAAAAAAACAAAAAATCTAAAAAGAATAATTACTAATGTTAATAATGCTTCCATTTTGTAGCCAAATTGAAAACCTATTGATTACCAATTACCGATTACTGATTACTGTTATCGCTGTTGTTATCCTATATTAGCCTAGTCCTAGTTTCCCAGTCATCCCAGATCTCAGATCTCAGATAACCTCGGATCGGATCCTCCTCGTATAATAAGTTGATCTTTAGCCAAATTGTTTGTAGATTCGATTGAAAAATTTTGAAAAATTAATTAAGTTTAGCAAACCCAATTGGCCAGAACTAAGTGAACTCCATTTTGTATATAATAGTAATACTCTCTCTCTCTATATATATATATATAGACATTTATTTATATACCTTCTTCCCACACATCCGTATATATATATTTACATAGTATCTATATGTGTATCCTTAAAAGAAACCAATGAATACCAAAGAAATCTGTAACGAAAGTTTGCTCAGTCTCAAGGCTTTTGGCTGGATGGCGGCCCATTTGCTACTTATTATGTATCTGATCGATCGATCGATGTCAATTATTCACGACAAGCACGACTTTGTTGCCTTTGAAAATCAATCCTTAACTCTATCTAAACTATATCTCTAACTAAATAGCAACTACTTAACATAAAGGATATACATTTTAGAAAGCTCTAAACTGTTTTCGCACCAGGGAGGTTTATATTTCAATTACCAGACTAGAGTAGTAGTGTGATCTTTTTATATATAATCCTAGTTTTTCTCTTTCGAAAGTTTCTATTAGTTTTGTGTTTCCTTTGTGCGATTTCAGTTTAGTGACAAAGCTGTCCAGCCAATAGTTAACTTTCATAGTATCTCCGATTAAACATATAGTATATATATATATAAAATAGTAACTCTCCTACACAGCCACATACCATACACCTCTAGAATGCACAGACATCGACATTTATTGCAAATTTTAAACGAAACGATTGTTGAATATCAAGCATACGCCGCGTTGTCTTTTGCGGTTCGGTTTTTGTGTGTGCCTTGAGCAGTAAACAAACAAAACAAATTTCTATACACATTATATATATCTACATAAAAAAAAAAACAATATATATATATACATATACTATTTAGATTCATATTCATATATTATGTAAACTTTATGTACGTCTAGAATTTTTTGATTTATTGTTTTTCGACATTTTACATAAACACGAGAGGATCGAGAATCGAGAGTCGATAAGCGAGAAGCGTGAAGCGTGTGTAGCGAGTAGCGAGTAGCGAGAATCGACCATCGATATATCGATTAATCGAGCCGTTTGAGATTGAGATTGCGAAGAGAAACGATGAATTCAAATAATAATAAAAACCGAATGATTCTTTGACTAAAAACGCTTGTGATGTTCTTTTTATTTCACTAATCGAAAAAAAAAATACCAATAATTGAAACACCATGGAATTAAAACCAAGTAGAAAATCCACCGAGCACTCACTGAATTACCAACAGATCCTGCGCCAAATACAACAAAAAAATTGGTCGATCCAGAGCAAGAAACAAAAAAAAAAATACAAAAACAAATATAAAATGAAATCTTTTTCAAACAAAGAATTGATAAATTAAAAATTGTGATGGACTCAATTTTAGTTTTAAGTTCGAATTGCTTCCTCCTCTAATCTATAAACTTGAAAACCCCCTCCCACCGAAAAAAAAAAATACCAAAAATTTCCATTGCTTATTAGTTGTTTGTTGTGTGACTGTACCCGCTGTTGTCTTGTGTCATATGTAACTACTATATTTTTGCAAAACTTATAACCATTATATGCATTCAGAGCAAGCGTTTTTAATCAAAGACCAAGGACTATTATTGTTTTTTCGTTCCGTTTCTACGCTTCGCAAGAACTAAGATTTCTCAAAAGCCGGAACTATCAACTAACTACAAGATAAGCTATAAAAAAAAGCTATAAAAAAAAACAAACTAAGCCTAAAAAATGAAGCCAAAAAGCAAAAGCAAGAGCCCTTAACTTTTTGTTACAAAATTTTGTTACCAATGAGCCCATCACAAGTTTTAATTTGCCAACCGGATAGGTTCTTTGGCGGGTGAATGGTGGAGTGTTGTGGTTTGCGAGCTCAGTCCGAAGGTAATGTATGGGTACCTGGTATTCATGTCTTTTCGAATCGATCGATCTCTTCCAGCAGCGCAGCAATAATTCCCAAACAGCGGCCACCGATCGATCCGTGGATCGATCCCATGGCCCGCACTCCCACAGCGGCCACAGCGGCCATGCCGTGGAGCAGATCGAGCTGCTGATCGACGAAAAGTGCCGCATCTTAAACAAGACCGGCACCCCCAAGTCGAGTGCCCTCCACCTGGCCAACTGGATGAAGGGCCAGCTGGACAAACAGCAGCAGCAGGCCCGACTGGCGGCCATTGCCCGCTCCCAGGAGAATGTCAGTGCCGAGGACGAGCAGCTGATATTCAACAGCGACAGCGAGCAGGACGAAAGGATCACCTACTGGACGCGCCAGCAGCTGGAGAAGCGCACCAAGGAGCTCAACCTGGCCAAGGAGAACGGCGGCCTCTCCGCCAAGCCAAACTTTGGTGGGAAGCGCCTCAGCGGCGTTGAGGAGCTCAGCATGAGCGCCACCTCGGACATATATTCCACCACGTCGGAGGCGGAGGGTGTGACGAGCCAGATCAGCCAGTCGCACAGCACAACGTCGGACAGTCAGGTAAGAGTCTTGAGCTCCTGAATCATACCCATCATAGCTTGTATCTCTGGCTTGGTAACCCGCTCTTCTCATAAACATCATCCCTGTTTCCCCATTCAGATCACCGTACGCTCCAGTCCCATTGTCCTGGACAAGCTGGCCGTGTGCCGGCACTGCCACAAGAACTGCCAACAAAGCGGCGGTGGTGCAGTGCGTCCTGGCGGCGTGAATACGTCCAACTCCACACCCGTGCTCCTCTGCAACTCCCTGAAGGTCCAGCACAGCCAGTCCTCCCCAAATCGATGCTGTAAGCTGAACGGCCTGGGAGCTGGGGAGCATGGCGCCGATAAAGGATCAGAGACACGAACTGGCGCCAGAACGGGAACGGAGACTGGGACGGGCAGCATGACCAGCATGTCCAGTAGCACAATAACCGGGGAGTTCTCCTCCAAGGTAGTGGCTAGCAGCAGTCGCCGGGAGACCGGCGACACGGAGAGCGATGTCGCCCAACTGATCACCGACGAAATCTCGATTTCCCAATCAGAGGCGACGGATGACAGTGTTGGGGCGATCCCGAACAGCAGCAGCAGTGCCGGCGACTCCAAACTACGTCATCTAGAACAGAATACAGTCACAGCCACCCCAGCCAGTCCGTCCCTGCCCAATGGTCACTGTAGTGGGGGAACTGGTGGTTCGCCCAAGCCACTGCCACCGCCCCGTCGCACCCGAATCGTGGCCCAGATGTGCCAGGAACCGGCCCGGCCCAAGGCCAATCAGCAGGTGAAGGCCATTGTCACCATAACGGAGACGGCCCGCATCATGCGGAGCAGTCCCACCAAGGGATCCAGCTCCGTGGGCGGATCACCGGCCAAGTACTCGGCCTGCCACTGTCGCTGCACCCCAGAGGACTTCACGAACGCCCAGCTCTCGCCGGACAAGATGGAGCACCAGACCTGCAAGCTCCTCGAATCGCCCAAGCAAACGGCCACCACCATGAAGCAGCAGCAGGAGAAGCAGGAGGACGACCAGCTGTCCCTGATGCTCATCGGCCTGGCCCAGTTCGCGCCGGCGGCCAAGCTGTGCGGCCAGGACCGGCTGGCCAAGGAGGAGAAGAGCCTGAGCAGCAGCACGCCCACCATTGCGGTGGTGCCGCCCACTCCCGACGCCGTGCTCACGAAAACCACCACCCACGTGTGGGACAATAGCGGCTGCTCCTCGAACGGCACCGGCACGGCCACCACTAGCACCGCCACCACGACCACCAAGCAGCCACGGCAGGCCATCATCGAAAACATACCCGAGGACTCCTGCGACGAATCGCCCCTCGACGAAGAGCCCCCCTACCGACCCATGAGCAGTGCCCTGCGGCGCTTCGGCACGATGTCCAGCCTGGAGAAGCTGCCCTCCGACGATCGGATGGACGAGGCCGACGAGCTGGACGACGACCTGGAGCCCTACACCTCGAACGGGCATGTATCTCCGCCGCAGAACGACGAGGACGACGAGGAGGAGGCCCGATCGGACAAGGCTCTGGTGCAGAACCTAAACGACCTGGGAGGGGCCAGTTCCTCGTCGGGTATCCTCGTCAATGGCGATGTCCTGGCCAGCGGGGCCTGGACCAACCGGGCCGGGGCCTTCGTCTCCGACAAAATGTCCTTCTTCGAGGAGTCGCGGGCCTTCATCGACAAGTACTTGGGCCGATGGAATGCCGGGGATGGGCAGCAGTCGCAGCAGCAGTCCCACCACCAGCCCGGCACCGCCTCGGAGACGGACGAGCAGATGGACGAGTGCACCTCGGGCGCCACCAGCGGCGAGGAGGTTTGGGGCACACCCACCAGCGGCGGGGACAACGACGACCAGGACATGCAGCTGATCAACTCGGAGAACACACACTCGGTAGGCCCTCAAAGATATTCATAATTCGAGTTGGGAATCCAAGATATTAATCCTTTAGTCGCCCACCAAGTCGAGCACCTCGCTGAACGATGACGATGACACGGAACTGATGATGGACGAACTACTGATGGCGCCACCGATGACGGCCAGCACGATCCGAGGACTGCTGCCACGGTATGTAAGGTCCAGGGGGTCTGTCTGTAGTCAGAGTCCCCACCGACACACCCACCGATACTCACACACAGCTGGTAGTTGAGATACCCTAGGCAGAAATCTCTCAAATATACATACATTTATGTATCTACCATACATAGTATAGCTTAGACTAGTGCCTCCATATATACATCTATATATATATTGATTGAGATCCTATTGTTAATAAGAATACGAATTCTCTTTTTTTGTGTACTCCTTTGGTAACTTTCTTTCGTAGCTTTTACAGGTGTTTTTTCTTTCGTAACCATTTGTTTCACACACTAAACTAAATGCCACACATCCAATAACCAATCCAATCCAATCCGATCTGATTCGAATTCAGTACCATTGTATCTCTATCTGTATCCATCATATATCCGTATCTATATACTCCTAGTATTGCTCACTAGCATAGTCCTACATAGGTGCAGGTTAAGTGGCGGGTCATATCTTTGTAGTTCTGTACCTCTATAGCCTATAACTGTATAAACTACATACTATATAGCCAAGTTTCAACTCGAAATTGATGAATCATTTATGCCATTTAACACCCACGATAATAACACAACAAACACACATCAAACCAATCAACACACACACATCAATCGATCGATCGACTTTCTCTAAATTCCAATTGAAATTCGTTTGCATTCGCCATTCACACGTATTATCGAACCGTAAATCGTATATCGTATATCGTATCTATCGTATATCGATACTGTCATGCGTAGACGTCGACTTGAGCCATTATTCGAGGAAGAGACGGAGAGCGACGAAGAGAAGACTCAGCAGGATAGCGATGACGTCAAAAAGGTGGGTCGTTATTACAGCAAATCCCAGACACGTCCCCGATAAGTCCAAAAGTCCAGGTCGATAGATCGCCATCGAAATGCAACCGTGTTCCGTACTCGTTCAGTACAGTTACGTTTTAAATACCAAAGTTTCGCTGCATGGCCGATAAATACTAAAAATACTAAAAAGAGGCAACTGTACTTCTGCACTAAAGACTAAGGAGACTAAGGAAGCTGACCGGCAGGCTATCGATCAGAGATTTTGATGAGAAATCGATAGAAATCGATAACTTGCCGAGTCAGCCCTGACGAGATGAAGATCTCGGCGGGGTAACCTTCCCACCTCCAACAAAATCCACCTGCATGTAGCCTAATCACTCTATGAACTAACTTCTCAATTGACTTTGGTTTGTCTTTCTATTTTGTCTATATTTTCATAAAAAAAAACCATCGACTGCAACTCGCTCATCTCCATCGATCATCTTCAAATCAATACCATCATCAATCAATCAATCAATCATGACACCTAATATGCTTTGAATTTGTATGTAAACTGTACTCTTTTTTGCTTGTCTCTGCTTGACCATCATGCCATTATCCTTTTTGTAATCATTTTTGTTGCTAAAAAATAATAATAATAAACTTGATACAAATGCCTTGTAATTGTATAGAAGGTCGTAGTGAAATTAGTGAAGCTTTAGCCCATCCTGCAATATTGCGAGCTCATCAACATCACACGTCCGGACAATGGCCACGACGATGACGACGCCGATTGACGAAAACCATTCGACAGTCAAGTGTCACAATCCGAATCAGAATCAGAATCGAAATCGAAATCAATACCAATACCAATACCATCATCCCCAACACCCTTGATCCGATCTTGCTATCGAAATTCCGTACTATAAAGCCAATCAGAGCTAACAGACCCACACGCACATGCACTCCATCCATCCATTCATCCATCCATCCGGCAACCGCTAGCAGGAGGCTCTATCCCAACCAGAATTGATTAGTTGAATTCTATTCCCACAAATTGGTAGGGGGAAGCAACGACCAATGGCCACTACCTAGAGGATTCGGCTGGAAGTTCAAGCGACAGCGAGGTGGAGCCAGTGGCGGAGGCGGGGGCGGCGGGAGTCCAACCACCAGTTCCAGTCCCAGTTGTGCCGGATCTGGAGGAGGATCCAGCGGAGCAGCAGTTGGTGGCGGAGGAGCAGCAGCAGCACCGGGAGCCACTGCATCCGATGGCGATGGGACCACGTCCCTTGGTCACCACACGTTTACTACCCACCACAGCCATTACCACGCAAGTGGATCGCGTCCTGGATCCTCCAGTGGTCTCATCCTGCGAGTATCTGCTCGATCAGCGCCGATCCGACGACGTCGTGGCGCCGGCGGACAAATCTCAGATGCCAGCAGCGATGCCGGCAGTGACGGTGATGAGTACGGGGATCGGATCCACGACGACGACGACGATGACGATGACGACGACGAGGATGACGACGATGAGGGCCACAACCACATCGACGACGATGACGACGACGATGCCGAGTCGAGCTCCCTCATCGACTACTACAACAATCAGCAGCGGGAGCGGCACTACCAGCTCCGGCGGCAGAGCCAGCGGCAGGCCAGCGGCGAAGTTCGTCCCGCCTCCGCCGCCTCCGCGTCGTTTGCTGCTCACGCAGACAGATCTAAGCGCTGCCAAGGTCAAAACGGTAAGACAAGGTCAACTACTAACCATGGGATGCATCCTTTAAGGCTATTATCCTTCACAGGAGCCACCTCAAAGAAAATCTGGCGGTACTGCTGACAGTGGCTCTTTGGCGGCTGTCGACGGCGCCGCCAGCGTTTCGGGCCCAACCGCTACCGGGTCAAGGACAACGCCAGCCATGGGGAGTACCAGCAGCTCGGCGGCAATGCCAGCGGCTCGGGCCAGGGCGGAAGCAGGTCCTGCGGCGGCAGCAAAACGACCATCCTCAACGATAATCGAGACCTGCCTGCTGGGGGCGCCCCGACGCGGGCCCTCAACCTCAGTCTCAGCAACTTCATCAGCAACAGTCTCGAAGACGGCAAAGCCGAGCCGGCCGAAGCCGCAGGAGCCGCGGGATGCAGTGGGGCAGGCGCAGAGCAGCCAGGATGCAGTGGCACCACTGCCGCCGCCGCCAGCAGCAGCAACCGACGCAGCCGCTCCTCATTCAGCGGCCGCTGCCCCAATGCCCCACGGTGGCTGCGGCCTAAGCCCAAGGCTGGAAATGCGACTGGCCCTCAACCACGACATCCTCGGGGACGAGGACTTGATCTGCTACGAGCCTGGTCCCGATCTAACAACTATTCTGGGGTAAGCTCTCTGCCTAGCCATGCTCCAAGTCCTAGGGTCTTATAATCCCCATTGCAGGCACGACCTCTCCACATTTCATCGTCTGACGGGGCGCGATTTATTGAGTCGTTCAGCCACGAACCGGGTGCAGCCAAAAGAGGCTGTCATATCGTTCTCTCAACAACGCAACTCAAAGATGGACACCCCGACGGTGAACCGCCGGGGCCGCCCCCTATCGGTGGGCGGTGGCAACACCAACACCACCAGCCGCAGCAGCAGCAGTCACGGCAGTCCGCTCGCCGCTGGTTCAGCTCGTGCCGCCGGCCCAGCGGGAGTCCAGCAGCCGGCCCATCATCAGCACCAGCCGGGGGCAGCACCACCAGCATACGGTACATGGAGCGGTTCTGGTTATGCGGGTCGAGTAGGCGGCGGGAGCGGAAGCGGCGCCGCCAGCAGCACCGCCTCCAACTCCAACAGAGGCGGGAGCAAATTAGGCGATCTGGAAATCTTGGCGAGGCGCGAGAAGATATACTGCACGTCTCGATCGAGGAGTGGCTCTCGAGTCAGGGAGACATCCACAATGTCCTCAACGACCTTGGTGGCGATGGCTTCCGAGCTGGCAGCGGAATCGGGGACGGGGACGGGGACAGGGATGGCAACGGGAACGGGGAAACGAGACTCTTCCTGGCCGAGCCGAGCAGCTGCAGCAGCCTCACTGACGAGGACGAGGAGTACTACTTCGATGGACGGAGCGGGAGCCATCAGTACCACCACCACCACAACAACAATGACTGAGGCATTCCTCGAAACGGAGGCCGGCAAATCGAAGCGATTGTAAGTAAGAAATCCCTTTTCAAAACGCCAATGAATCCTGAAATCATTTAAAGTATCCTTCTTAAAGATCGGGTCAAAATTGGCCCAGATATAGCCTTCCCAAGGGGTCCTGATGCCATTTTCACGATTTCCCCCATTTTGGCAGGGGGTCCCCTAGAAAAATTTGAAAAAATTGGATCCAAAATTATGTTTTCAGATTTTAATGCAGATTTATGGAGAATCGATCCAGAAATCATTTAAGAGAGTCCGCTCAAGGATCGGATCAAAATTGGCCAAGATATAGCCTTCCCAAGGGGTCCTAATGCCATTTTCACCCTTTCCCCCATTTTGGCAGGGGGTCCCCTAGAAAATTTTGAAAAAATTGGATCCAAAATTATTTTTTCAGATTTTAATGCAGATATATGGAGAATAGATCCAGAAATCATTTAAGACAGTCCGCTCAAGAATCGGATCAAAATTGGCCAAGATATAGCCTCCCGAAGTGGTCTTAGATGAAAACTGCGTATTTTAAGGGGGTTATCTTAGGAATTTTTATACCCTTGCAGAGGGTATTATAATTTTGTCCAAAAGTGTGCAACGCAGTGAAGGAGACATCTCCGACCCTATAAAGTATATATATTCTTGATCAGGATCACCTCCTGAGTTGATATGAGCATGTCCGTCTGTCCGTCTGTCCGTCTGTCCGTCTGTCTGTCTGTCTGTCCGTTTCTACGCGAACTAGTCTCTCAGTTTTGAAGCTATCGTCTTGAAACTTTGCACACACCCTTCTTTTCTTTGCACGCAGTATATAAGTCGGAACGGCCCGGATCGGCCGACTATATCCTATAGCTGCCATATAACTGATTGATCGGAAATGGTATAACTTTGGTGTTTTTAGAGTTAGAGAGTTCAAATTTGACATGAGAGCTATTTTTGGCAAATTATTGTGACATGCCAAATTTCATAAGGATCGGCCGACTATATCTTATAGCTGCCATATAACTGAACGATCGGAAATGACCTAACTTTCGTGTTTTTGAAGATAGAAAGCTGAAACTTAATACAGATTCTATTATTGGCCAGTTGATCCGACCTACCAAATTTCATTAGGATCGGTCGACTATAACCTATAGCTGCCATATAACTGAACGATCGGAAATGGTACTTGGTAGAAATATCAACTTTCGTATTTTGGAAGATAGAAGTTTGGGACTTATTTTAGATTTTGTATTTTAGTAAATTGGTTTTATTATGATGTAATCATAAGGATCTGCCAACTATATCCGATGTTTGCGATATATATCCGGTTTTAACTGCAAGGGTATATAAACTTCGGCTCCGCCCGAAGTTAGCTTTCCTTTCTTGTTTATAATATTCTAGAGATAAGATCAATAATCTCAAAAACCGCTTGATTTCTTTAAAGGATTAACTTCATAAAGCGCCGTAACTCCGAGATAACCGCCAGTAGCAGCAGCAGCATCCCCAACGTCTCCGATGGCGCCCAACCGAGCCAGAGTCAGAGCAGCCTGATGCTCCAAAGGCAGTCGCCGGGCCAGTCGCAGGGTCCGGATTCAGCGGACATGGCACAGATGTCGCCGCGAAAGGATAACGTAAGATGATGATGATGTCCTTTGTTAATCCTTTTAATATTGTGCCTTTTGGGATTGCAGGACAAGCCATCGCTGAACCGCCGCCTGTGGAAACAGATCACCAAACGCCGACGCACCAACTCTGTGTCCCAAATAGTCGCGGGCTAGGGGAACCCCCATCCTTGAACCCCAAACCCACACACACACACACACACTCTCACACACACAATCTCACACACTCTTAGCCCTCGTTCAAACTGTGTTCTGTGGGTAGATTTTAGTGACATTTGCACGGGGCAGTCGATGTCTGGATGGGAATTGAAGAGGAAACTGCAACTGCCAAGCATATCAAGGTGGGTTTAGGTTCTTAAATCGACTGCCCCACCAAAAGGACTGGCAGAAATCAAAATGAAAGAGAGAGAGTAGAGAAAGTTAATTAATTGAAAGCCACTCGACATGGAGGGTACAACACTTTAGTAGTATGTTAAGTTTTTTGATACGACTTTGTAGCTAGCGAATCCCCCCGGATCGCAACGATCCTAGGGGCAGCTCTAGGCGTCCAAATTGCGTCCAAAAACCAAACAAAAAAAAATAAAATAAAAATAAAATGGAAAATAAACATTAAACGATTCTCCTGCCAACAGAAAAATAAAAGCCAAGAGGAACCGAGTCCCAGCCAAACAGAAACTGAAATACTGAGTAAAGAAAATAATATTTAGACAACGAATGGCACTAAGGCGGCAGTTGGAGAGTGGCAAAGATCAACAACTACTGGGCACACTTTAAGCATTATGACATTAACTCGAAAAACAAAAAATAAAAAACCACAACATAAAAAACTTATTACAGCAAAATCCAGCCAAATGTTTAGGACTTAGAGGAAGTTCATACACACAGACTATATACATAAATGTGTTATTTTTTTCATTTTTTTTTTTTTTTCTCAATGGAGGAGACGTAACGCCAGACGTGGAGGAAAAGCCGGCATTCATAATTAATTTTTAGCTTTTAGCAGTTTCGGGTTTATGTTGCGGGATTTAAGATTTAAAACAAAAACAAAAAATATATGGAAATGGAAATGGAAAAAAAATGTGGAAGAAATGAAATTGCCTTACGTATTCAATGAACTATTGTATGGGTAGCTTAACGTAGTAGTCTTTATATATTTACTTATATTTAAATTTGAAATTTTACATTTTTGCGGCATTTTGCAACTGTCCATCACAGCCTCAGCAGTTTGTAGTTTGTACCAACTAAGTCTGTATGCGTATGAGTATGAGAATTATTGTATGAGTAGCTTGTCGATCGTAAAACAATTTTTTTAGTAATTAAATTTCACAGTTTTTCTCAACTATTTACAACAAAACCAACTTTTGCATCAGTTAGATCTTAAATAAACGATATAGGGAAAAACTTGGTATTTGTAGTTCATTTCACATTGAAATTGAAATTGTAATTGTAATTGTAATTGATATTGAGAAGAAGAATTACTAGAATCTAGAATCGACGAGAATCTAGAATCGAGAAAACGAATAAACGAAAAGTCGCGAATATAATTGTTGAATTCCCAGCGATGTGCCGGGTAAAACGCTAACAAATTATACGAATTAATAATAATAATAATAATAACAAACGATCAAGTACATTTATCAGCTTTAATAGAAAATCTAATATATAATATATACACATGAATCTAAATGAATCTAAATAGTTCTAGTTCTAGTTATATAATTGACATGTACGAATTACCTTTGGATAGTGAGTACATCCCGGGATCGAGTTATTATGCATTTATCACTCACACACATTCCGCTCGAGGCATTCATTCAAAGATCCAGCACATAATGGCAGTGTTTTCCGATCGGAAAACTACTTTGACTTTTAAAAATTTTTAAGAGAAACTCTCCCCTACCCCAAGGTAATTTAGTTTACTTTTTTTTTTTTTGGTCGAAATTCGTATTTTAGCCATTTTAGTAGAAATGCAAAAGTGAATTTTCCTCTTGAAATTCAATAAGAAATTCAATTATTTAAAGAACAAACTCCAAAGAAACAAAAAGAAAAAAAGCATCCAAATAAATTCAATATACAATAAATCAAAATCAAATATATACCAACTTTGTTTTAATTGTTGTTTTTTCTTAAAGTTTAAAGGGGATTACTTTAAGACATATATATCTTTGTATATAAGCTTTATTTATTCTAGCATAAAAGGTTTATCTTTTTGAAAATATCTGTAAACTGATATGGTCGGAGCTATAAGTACTCTATACAGAATACTTTTATTTAAACATTTCAATTGCCTACTTTTAGGCTTTGAAACTATTGGAATATATTGTTGAAGGTATAAGATATATACTACTATTAAACCCAAATATTAAAGTATTTGAGAAAGAATGGTTTTCTTTAATTATTTTTGAAAGGTTTTATTAAAGAAAACTTTATTGTTCAATATTTGTAGCTATTGTACAATGATTTCTAATTATATTACCTACTTTTAGGCTTTGAAACTGTTGTTGAAACTAAAGATATTTTTGAATCTTTAAATATTTAAATTATATGACTGCAAAAAGGTTTTCTATAGTTATTTTTGAAAGTGCTTTTGTTTTAAAATATTTTGTTTACATATTTTAAGCTATTAATACTTGATTTCCAAGTAAAACTGCCTACTTTTAGGCTTAAAAACTGTTACAGTTTCAAAAATACATCAATATTAAGTTCATCAAATCTTTCTTACATTTTCTATGATTTTCCCTGATTTCCCTTAGAAAGAACTCTAAGAAGCCCTTTAAGTACTTACTACCTTTAAACCCCTACCTTAATAGGCCAAGTCTGAGTTCTGATTTAGTTCTTGACTTGAAAATATCAATACCTTCTGGCCAGGGTGCTTTTTAGAGGGAGACACACAAAAAAATCTACAAAAAAAACTATACATGTTGGTCAAATTAATTGTAATTCCCCAGTGGAGCTGGGTTGGGCGCTTTGGAGGCCCGTGCGTGCGCCCAGTTAATTTTTGTTGCACACTCACCGTCACCGTCACTGCCACCACCCCCAACTCCCCCATTTTCCGGGCATTGGGTGGCTGGAGGTGTGGGGAGGTAGAAAGGGTGGACTGGACTGGAGAACGAAGAAACGGTGGAGCGGAAAAGCGGTAATGCGGCAAAGAGAGAGTAAGTGTCGGCGGCGAGCGGCGCCAGCTGTATCTGCTACTGAGCTGGCTACTGCAGCTGAGCTTCAGATACTTTTTCAGCTGAGCGGTTCAGTTCGCAAACGAGTTTCACGCCGAACGGACGCTCGCGCTGCGTTTCGCTTCGAAATACTACTTCGATACTACTCTCCACCACCCTCGTCGTCGTCGTCGTCTCGTCTCACTCGGCGTTCTCTGGGTCGCGGAATCAAAATCTGAAGAATTCCTCCTCGCCAGAAGAATTCGCAAATGCTTCACAGTCCAAGTGCATTTGTTTACACATCCGAAAGATACGTCGCGAGTGTTAGTGTTCACCATTTCGCACAGAAATGTGGCGTTAAATAAATATATATTTTGGTCCCCTTTTTTTTTACAATTTTTTTTTATTAAACCAAAAAAAAGTGATTACCAAAAAATAACCCTCGGGAAGAAAGAATTTAGATCGAGAGTGTACGAGAGTGTGTTGACACTTGAAAGACACCGATGCATGTGAGCTGACAGGAAGTAGAGCGCCATTAAGTCCATCACATCAAAAGGCAGTTAGAACCATGGAACAGAACTCGGCCCAAACTGTTTTTTTGCTAATTGAGGTCGTTGTCTAGGTAAGTTGTCGGTTTCTTCTGCTTGGCCAGGCTAAGACCATCTTTTGTAGCCGTCTTCTAGCTTCCGTTTGCAACACAGCTTTTGGAATTCACTTTACCCCCCCACTCACCCCACTCACTCCATACACTCGGATCTGATCCGCCAAAACGATCCAACATACCGATAAGGCCCGAACCACAGCCAGTGCTCCAAAAACGGTAAATTATGCCGGTGTTGTTGGCTAAAAATTCACACGTTGCACTGTGGTTAAAAGGATCTAAAAATTAGTTAATTTAGAGTGTCCGCTTAAGAGAGGCTTGTCCGCTAAATGAGAATATTTAAGCTTTAAAGTCTCCCCTTTCTTTTGTTTCTAATTCTAAAGAGTTTTAAAGCTTAACTCTAGTGTCCGCTTGAGAGAGGATTGTCCACTTGGAACAAAAATACAAAAAACCCCTGAGATCTCCTGCTTAGATTTTTTTTTTCTAAATTTTCACACGTTCTCAAAAAAACAAACTCTCCAACCAATAAAATAAAATTGCATACGTGATTTCTATTAAATCAGGGCTTTGCTTTAAATTTGATCAACCGTGTCTGTAAGTTTTATTATTTTTATTTTATTTTGGGGAAAATAAAGTGAAGTGGGTTAACAAAATGTTGTGTTTTCGGATTTATAAAGCCATCGACCCAGAGTGGCCTGCTAAAAGCGGAAAATCAAAATGACAGATAGTCGGATTTCAAGTCCAAGAAGAAAAAGCAACCTGAGTCAGCAGTGAAAGCAGGCAATCGAAAGCTCGCTTCGGCAATCTGCAATTTTACTTCCTTGTAGCGCCCAGTACCAGTACCGGATTCTGGAGATCTTTATTTTATTTCATTTTTTTTTTTTTGGTGGCTGGGAACGAATCGATAATCGAGAACCCAGAGTCAGGTGATCCATCCAGCCAGAGCTCTGATAATAATTATCACACAACGGTGGCGGCGGCCACATAACAGAACAACAATCAATGGTTTATACCAATAATGGTGCCGAGATGCTGGCTGTGATTATGATGGAGATTATAGTGGTTGGATGGCCGACGAAAAACCGCAGCGGAAACATATTATCGCGGCTTTCAACTATCGATCCTATAGTGAGAAAAAAAAACTAAAAATCAGTTAGCTATGTAAGGTCGAAGCACGGCAGCTAAATGCATATTAAGTAATTTCCAAGCAAGTGAGAAACTCCACAAAAAAACGAGTTAAAACGTAAATAGATACTTGTACGACTCTATTTAGCGCATGTTTCCTTTTTGAGATTTTTGGTTCCGCCAAATAGCAAATGGCAAGTGCAAAAATTTGTTGCGAAAATTGATTAACATCAAACAGGTTCCTCATCTCTCTGCTTAAGCTCACAAATTTATGAAATTGCTGGTCAAAAGTTTTTAATTGAATCTCACATAAAAATTAACAAAAGAAACAAAAAAAAAAAACAACTAAGGAGAAAAAAGGTAAAATCGTAAAAAATGGGGAAAAATCCACTAAAAAAAAAAGCAACGCAAACAAAAAAACGCGGCGACAAAGACAACAAATGGGTATGATGATGATTGGGACATGAAGCTCATGATTGTTTTTTTTTTATTTTGGGGAGGAATATATATAGCTTATATATTATTTGGCAACTTTTGCCCAAGACATTTCACTGAGAAACGACAAAGCTCCGGCAATCAACTGATAAACTGGTTTCGCAGTTTATTGAATTTTATACAACATTTGCATCGCTTCACTCACCGAACGACAACGAAACAATAAACAATTTCAATGAGAAAACACAAAAAAAAAGATGGTAGCTCGTTAAGTTGCCCAAGGTATTTGACCCACCAGCGCTAAGTAGAATTGTTCTCATTCTCACCGAAGCTTAATCATGGGGAGAAGACCGGGAAGGGGGACCCTACCTACCCTACACACAAATTTTCAACAGCAGCTGCTCGATTTAAATCCCAGCATATATACATATATATATATTTTTTGTTGAATGGGAACAAAAGACAAACAAACTGAAGTCTAGGGTTACCATCGGAAGGAATCTGCGCATTGCTCATTTCCATTCCATTCAGTTTCTTAAATTCAGATCGTACCACTTTTTTTTTATCCCCCTTTTGGGTTTTCAAAGATCCCCCCACTGGGCGCAATATCTCCCGGTTTTCTTTTTTTTACCTGTCACTCCACCTGGCTCCTCTCACTTTCATTCCATTTTTTTGGGCCGAATCTGATGCTGAAGGGCCTTTCTAAATCTTTAATGGCCCAGACTTTTACATCAATTGGTAACTGGGAATTCTGGGCATACAAGGCCAACATGGGATTATGAAAAGAAACTATTAGTAAGCTCTTAACTATGGCGACCGTGACAGTTATGGTTAATAGCAAGGAATTTAAGCACATTCCTGATGCACATTTTATAATGAAAATTCTGACCAAACAAGCCAAACATTATTTTATAACAACCATGTTCTTTTCGGTGAAATTATTTGGCGACCGTGACAATTAGGGTTTGAAACTAAATATGAAGGAATTAATTGAGCACATTCTTGCTCATTGTATGATTTAATTGTAGAAACCTTTTTAGCTGAAGGCCTTTGATTTGCAGAGCTATTATTCCCACCTCGGTCGTATGCTTGAAGACTTCCTCTATGATCTATGGCGGTCATGTAATGTTTGCCAGGGTACTTGAACTTCTCCAAGTTCCATTCTCTTCGTTGTCTATACACCATTCTACATTCTACAGTCTCGATTCTCCAACTGACGCTCTGCTGACGAAGCTCAAACAATAGAGTTCTTGTTGGCACTCCAACTCGCACTCTCCTGCTCCCCATCTCTCTCTCTCTATCTCTCTCTGGCTCTTTCTTTCTCACTTTGTTTAGTTACATATATGTACATATATCTGTATGATCCGTAGGCACAAAGCCGAAGCCGCCCCTTTTGCGCCCCTCTATTTTGGGATGGGGGTCCCATACATAGTAATTAGAATCATGCACGAGCATACCTTTGGCTACGTATCAACCCAACTATCCAAGTATCTGAGTATCTGAGTATCTGCGTATCTATGTATCTTCTATGTTGAGGTGTATCTGTGTGTTTCAGAGTTCGCTGACTGTGACTTGAACCGTTTTGGCGTCGTCGTCTCAGCTGAGTCGTTAATTTAGGCTTCGTTTGCCTCTTGCAAGTAATTATGAGCGACAGAAGCGGACCATTTCCATTTACATTCCCCCAATTCTCAAGTCTAAAATCTCAGATCTCCAATCCCAATCCCCAATCCCAATCCCTCCAGGCCCTGGAGCAGTGAAAGAATTTAATTCGGGATCGAAGATAGAGACCAAAACAGTTTCTGGCAACCATCTAACTTTTCTGGCTATTAATCACTGGAATTGGTCAGTTGAAAATTCAATTTCGTGGCCACCAAAAAAAAAGAAGAAACAACTCTACAAATTAACGTCTTTTTAATTGCTCGTGCTGTTGGCTTTTGCCACGACAACACTCCACCAGCAACAACAACAACAACAAAAACACTCCAACAATAGCAACAACAATGGCCAATTGTCATATAAAGTCGTTGAACTCAAGAGCCCCCTTCTCCACTGCCACTTCCACCTCCGCCCACTTAAACCAACAAACCAGAGTTTATTTTTCCCTCTTCCGAGCTTAATGTTTTTTATAATTTTTATGTTTTTATTTTTTATTTTTTTCTGGGGACATTACAGTTATACAATGGATCAGCTGTTGATCCATCATTTTAGACATTACACCACCCCCCCCACCACCCCACCCCACCCACAACCAACAGATATTGTGAAACAATGGCTGCAGTTTTTTTTAGGTTTTTGATAGAAGCCGCTGAACAAAGTAAATAAAAATAAACAAAAAAAAGAGCAGCATTTGACTGGGCATGACCTTGACAAGGGCAGCCGCTCGGCAAACGTGTTTACCAACAACAGCAACAACAACAACAGTAACAAAACAAAACACAGACACCACACGGTCTAAGCCAAACCGGTATGCTTCCCCTACTCATCATCACACAACCCAAAAAAAAAAAAAAAAAAAAAGACACCTTTTTCTAAAAAACTTGGTTGATATTTCAGACTTTTGGTGACGCTTCAAAGATTTTCCACACCAAATATTGTCATATAAACGAATAGAAATAGTTAGAACTTAACCCACAACACGTGCCTCCCCCCTCAAAAAAAGGTAAATAAAGAAAATGAAACTCACCTGAATTACTATCGTCACCTATGCGGACGGCCCTCTCTATGCTCTCTAGGATGTTATTCTTCTTCTTCGTGCTGGGAGCTTTGTAAACACACACGCGAGGGGGAGGGCAAAAATAAACATTGAAAACTCCTTTTAAACAATTGCATTCATTAAGATTTAATTAACAAAACTATTAATTAATAGATAAACACTGTTTTCTACAACTTTTCAAACAATTAAACACACAAAAAAACACGCAAAAACAAAAACAATTCGAAAAGGGGAGTTAGAACGAACTTTGATCGTAGTGTCAGTGATAGAGAGAGAGAGTGAGAGAGAGTGGAAGGATGAGAGTGTTAGAAAGCGCAGGTGCAACGGCAGGAAAGCTTTGCACTCCTTCCAGTTTACATATTTTAGAACACTAATTACTTTGGCGCCTATCAGAGGCGGGTGATTTAAATATTAAGTGGCTATTAAATCAAGCTATGAATTACAATTTATTACCAAAGATTGAAGTAAAAACCAATAGAAGAAACTTTACCAATAAAAATCAAACGATTGCCAGATAAATTCGTTAAACCTAAGGTATTTATTATTTTAGCTTTTATTATACTACTCCCCCTTTATATTTGTTCATATGGGAGTGCTTGACCAATTGCAATTTTTTTTTTTTGTTGGCTTTTCAATTGCAATTCAACTCAATTGTGTTGAGTACGAAAGCGTGAAAAACTCAACGAATAAACTACAAGAAGTTGACCGGCCAGTGACTCGAATTAGATATATTAAGTGCTTTTTAGTT